ATTTTTAATAACTGTTAATTCGTTGAAACACAAATAATCAGCAGTCGGAGGCTTTGAAATCAGCTCGTCAAAAATTCCAGTCAGTGGAATCTGAGGCATCGACGAGGCAGGAAAAACGGAGCTGAGATGAGTCTAAACAAAAAGGTTCATTCAAAAATACTTTCATATATCCAGGTAAATGCACCATAGCCTAATACTTTTAGTACTTACCGATTAAATACAATTTTAAAAGCCAATGTTTTGTGTGTCTTTTCAGTGTGTGCATCTTGCAACCGACTGCAAGGTGAGTTTCGTGTGTGTAATAAAGTGTGTGTAATAAAGTGCACTTTTTGAAAACTACTATAAATTTATTTCTGTATGCAGGCCATGTAAAAGTCATATCATTCCATAATATTCCTGATGAAACATTTTTATATTTCAGTTTTTACTTATGAGGAGGGCTGAAGGTATTTATAACTCAAATAAAAATTCAATATAAACCCATAAATAAATGTTTATTGTGTTCGATCCGATTGATTCAATTCGTAATTTATCATTTATCAGTGTGCGTGACGTAAAAAAAAAATAATAATACAAAAAGGTATGCGAATAACTAGGAAAATTCGATCGAATGAGGATAAATCATTCGTTATCAGAACCACTGTCGTCCGAATTAGTTCTGCCTCGAATTGTTTTTGATTTCTTGTTTCCAAAGAGTAGATTAGACGGCTTCTTTCTCTTTTCTGGTGGATTCAACAGGTCACCAGTGTATGATATTGCACCAGATTGGGCTATTCTCCACTCCATCATCTCTGTGGAAAAATCGCCGCAATTTCCGAGGTCCGTGAAGCCTACGATGTAGTCTTTTGTCTTGCTGTCTGAGATTAGGGCTATCGTGGGAATTATTTTAATCCTTAAATGCTCTGGAACATCAATATCCAGGTTCTCCAGAGCTTCAAGCTCTCCATCTAATTGACGCTCCACCTGTTTCGCCATCTCCAAGATCTTATGCTGTTGACGATTTCGGTTTCCTCTTAAGTTCTCGCATTTTGTCTACCTTCACCTTTCGTAAATGCATTATCTTTCTTCGGGTCAAGAATTGATCCAGGAATTCATCGACTTCTGTATCTCCCGATAAGAATTTCTCAGCTATTTTCTG